AGGCTTTGTGACCTAACCATGGAAAGGCTTCACGGGGCTTCTGGAGGGCCCTGCCCCACCAAATGTACAAAATGTTATGTGTATATTTTGCTCTGGTGAGTCAGTGTTCTCATCAGCCTCCTAATCAAGGCCATGACTAAAGAGGTTAAGAATCACGAAAGCAGATTAAGAAATAAGAACAACAGAACTGCATACACTGAGTTGGCCATTGTTGGGGGCTGAATATCAGGGTGCAGGCTAGAGTAGACAGAGACCATAGCAGCTGTCATTGAGATCCTCTGGATGTGCTGTAATTGCTGATAATCATAGCAATGAACGGAGCAATGTCTGGGACATGCGGTCAGCACTCCCTGCTCAGATTAAGAAAAGCTAAAAAGACTTCCAAAAATGCTTCCACGAAATGAAATGAGAAGAGGAAGGAAAAAGAAGTGTAGTATAAGAAGTTATTTTGTTTTTTTGAGAAGTTTTTGCTATAGGGCATGTGTGCTCTCCAGAAAGACAGAGAGACAGAAAGCGAGAAATCAATCCCCAGAGAAATGGCCATGCCACAATCCCTTCTCCTCCATTCTTGTCTTGGGCACACATGCACACCTGCACAACATGCGTTTAAGCCATGAGTTCAGGACTCAAACTGCAATCGGCTACATGGGAGTCCAGAGACACAGCCATTACGCCAACTGCTAGTCTCTGTAGTACAAGTTTTAATCTAAATTTTTTTCCCTTTTTTTGGGCAGGGCTTTGCTATAGGGCACATGCACTTGCCAGAAAGACAGAGAGAGAGAGAGAGAGACAGAGAGACAGAAAGCGAGAAATCACCCCCCAGGGACATGGCCATGCCGCAATCCCTTCTCCTCCATTCTCCTCTTGTGATCTTGGGCACACACGCACATGCGCCCGGCGTGAGTTTAAGACACTGGGTCAAGGACTCGAACTGCGGTCGACTAAATGGGAGTCCAGCGACATAGCCATTATGCTAACTACTGGTCCTGAGTTTTAATCTAAATTTAAAAATGGTTATGGAGAAGAAAAAAGTCCAACTTTTATAGGCTCATTGATGACTGCCCAGATGGGGATAGCGTCCGTAAGATCCAAGAAGTCAAATTAGTGGCAAACAAAATCTTTCCAAGAAATAAGTGGGAAGAAATGAAAGTAGATTAGAGATAAGAGAAAGCAGAAGAGAAGCACTGTGAAGGGGCCTCAGGACTATCTTGTGGCAGCAGTCACAAGCATTCCAGCTGAGTCCAGTGGAGATGGAAGCTTAAACCAAATCAGAGCTGGGCTAAGTGGATTCCTTTCTTGGAAGAGGCTGAAGCCTTATTAAATTTGCAAAAAATTTCTGTTCTAAAGCTTTTCTGATTTCTATTACAAACTCTGTCTCTGCAAACTTTCTTCAAGCTCTCTCATTCCATTATTTCCAGGGTCTCTATGCTTAAAGAGAACATCAATTTCACAGGCAAAAACCATAGCTACCCTTTCCTCTCTCTATAGGTTACCTGAGTCCTGAGAAAGCTCAGGAAAGACACTTTCTGCAGAAAAAAAGACTTGCTTTTAGACTCTCAGGTCAAATGAATTCTCACAGAGATGGACATGTTCAGGCCATCCTTCTGCTAGTAAATGCTTAGCAAAGGTCAAAAGATCTGGTCCATTAGCTATATATAGCTAAAAGAACAGGTCCAGGGTAGGACTTTCAAAATCTTCTAGTCATTAAAAAAAATCCATTCATTCAAGCATGTAATTAATGTGACTTGCTGTGTTTGGGGTATTTGTGTCTGTGTTAGGTGGCACCAGGAGACCCAAAATGTATGTAAGTCAGGGTACCCTGAGGAAATTCTACCTACCTTGGGGAAACAAAAGACACCTATGAGAACTACTGGGGAGTTGTTACATAACATAGCTGTTCGATAGTGAACCACCCTCTAATCCCAAACTGCCAACACAAGCACTAAAGGGGCAAGCTAGTGGGAGAATTTCAGAATGAGAGTTCCTACAACAAAAAAATAATCCTTAATAGTCTCAAGTGCTTGCAACTGGCAAAGTACTCTTAAATACACTGTCTTCTTTACTTCTGAAAACAATTCTAAGGGATAGGTATTATCCTCATTTTAAAAATAAAATAATATTCGGAAAGACTAAGTGGCTTAATTCAAGTCATAAAAGGAGTTAATGGTGAGACCAACCTGATCCCACTGACTCTAAATCCGAACCCTCTTTCTACTACACCATACTGCTAGAAGTGTACGTTTGCTTCTCAGTTGAGGATAATTAACATTAATAGGAAGTTTGAGACAAGACCATGATTTAACTTCAGGCCTCTTGACAGACATAGAGATGCTGCTCCCATAATATCTTTCATTTGACAGCTATGAGTCCATGCTTGGGCTGATCTTTAGTACTAAAAAAAGTAGATGCTAAAATGATCATCAAGGGAGGCTTCTGCAAGAGGTGAGGCAACCTCACAAGAAAAATGGGATGACGACAACAGAAATGGGCATAAATGGTATAAATGGTATAGAAGGTCATCAAAGTGCTGGTAAAGGCCAGGACTGCCAGCCCAGGCCACATTATCCCATAAACCCATACTTAGATGTCTGCCTGGGTTTGTTCAGGCTTACCTTGGTAGCTAAGGGTAGTAGATTCCTTCTTCAAGAGTTCATGAAATAGCAATGACAAAAGCTTCACATAAAAAACAGAAAGGATCCAAATCTCTGATTTCTCTCCCACATTTTCCTCTGGATTAGCATTTATTAGATTTGAAGGGATTTCTACATACCAAGTCTTACTAGAGAGCCTCATCTATGTAATTGGTCCAGTCCAGAGGAAAAGAACAGAGCCTTGGATTCTAGCCTAGATTTAATGACTTGTTCTTATGTCTGTCTCTTCCACTAAATTGTATGGACAATACTGGGCCTTATTCAGAGTAATAGAGGCATTTAATCAACATGTTGTGAATTAACCACATAAACTAAACCTGGCTTTGCCTCCGCATAACTTCAGACAGGCTCTTGCGTGTCTCCAAGCCTTAGCTCCTTTATTTTATTTTCCAGTTGCCAAAGGGCATATGCACTTGCCAGAGAGAGACAGAGAGTGAGAAAGCACTCCCCCCCACTGGAGTGTGGTCATGCCACAATCTCTTCTCCATTTCTCCATCTCGTCAAGATTTGGGTCATGTATGCACATTCACCCATGTGTTTTTCCAGGTATTGGAGCCAAGATTCCAACTATGGTCAGCCATGTGGGATTTGGCTCCCTTAATCACTAGGCAACACAGATGACCCTCCTTCATTTTTCAAATAGAAATGAAAAACGTCTGTCCCACTGACCTCATATGGTTGTCAGAGAGCCAAGTAGATCATATATAGATAAGTAGTACTAAACATAAAGGATTACTCTGATATTTTATGAAACACCTATCTGCAGGTGACCTTGGGATGGACACAACATATACTTGGGAAACAACTGTTCTGACAAAGTGTTCATATAGTAGAACAAGTATTTTATTTTTTTTAGTATTTTATTTATTTAATTAATTTATTTATTATTACTTTTCACAGGAGTTTTTGCCAAAGAAAGACAGAGAGAGAGAAAAGGAGAATGAGAAAGCAAGCCACCAGGTCTGGGACACAAACCACAGTTGGCCGTGTGGGAATTCAAGCGCCTTAACCACTACGCCACCTGGTAGCCCCCCTCAACAAGTATTTTCTACTTGGCTGATTTGACTGGCTGACAAGTACTAGCCAAATTAGAAAAAGAATGTTTTCCTCAGACTATAAGCGGCTACTTTGTATTCTTTGGGAACAGCTAGACCTTAGATCTACCCTGAGTAACCCTGATGCAGGGCCTGATCCTTCCACTATAGTTTTCTGCAGAGAAAGGCAGCCTACTACCACCTGGGCCAGATGAACACTGCCTTTGGAAGGCCATAAATAGAGAGAAAGGGAGTTCTGCCCTGGTGGGAAGGCTAGGACAGCAGGGAACCCTGGGCTACTCTGAGCAGAGAATACTTTCTAAGAGGGCAAAAATACACATTGCTCTTTAACAAGGGGTTCCAAATACAGACCTAGTTCACCCATTTGCTTTCTTAACACTTATTGCTAGGACTTTATTGACCTCCCCACCTCCATATTCCCCCTATAATGATTATTTCCTAAGTTGCAGACATTTTGCATAGTACTAAGCTGGTTATAAAGACAACCACACAGATCTCACACAGACCTCACCGTCTACCGGTGGTAGGGGTGGGATGGGTCATCTATACAATGGGTAAGTACACCTACCACAATGTGAGAAGTGCTCTACTGACTGGATGAGCAGAGTTATAGGAATACAAGGGAAAAAAATGACACTGGAGCTGGGCCTTAAGGGATCATGAGAGCTCTGCCAGGCCCAGGGGTGTGGTGGGGATGGCATTCAGGCAGAGGAGATAGCTTTATAGAGACCTAGGAGTGAGGTTCAGAGTAACAGTGGGCAGTGAGAGGGAGCACAGTGGGTAGTGGATGTGTGGGGACAGGGAGAGAGATGGAGCAGGGAGAGGTCATGGGCTACAAAGGGGGAAGACAAATGGAGGGTCAAGGGTCTTGTCTGACATGCAAGGAATGTGGCTGCATTCTAGGGGCAGTGGGTGGGAGGCATGAAGAAAGATGATGTGGTCACTGTGCGGTAGGGACAGGTGAGTGGTGTTCTCAGAGGCAGTTTGCACCAGTTTGCAAGAGTGACTTTTGACATTATTTCAAGTTTTGTGAGCTAGTTGATTTTATATCGGTAGTTTAAAATCAAGTCACTGTGGGCATGTTTATACAGAAACTGGCAAACATCACAAATCAGGTTTTTTCCAGAGCTGGATGTTAAATACCAGTACACTGTGGGCACCTGTGTGCATGTGTACACACACACACACACACACGTGTGTGTGTAGAGTTGCTAATAAATTACAAAGAAGAGGCCCAGCAAAAGCCAGAAAAGGGTGTATCAGGCAGAAGTACATGAGATCTTGGCACACTCACCAGCCTCAGATTCTTCATTGCTTGGGGAAACATGCCTTGATGTAACTGCAGCTTGCCAACCTTCATTACTTGCACACCTCTGACGGGATGGCTTCCTGGGAAGAAAATCCTGCAAGAAACCAAATGGCAAACAGTGTCAGTGGCCCTCACCTTTGCAGTCAGCATTTTATCAGGAGACTGAAAGTGGGAGCAAACACTGGCTGTGAATGTTAATGAGTGACTGTTAGGAAATTAGCTTTGCAAGCCAGGAGAATGCAATACTGAGGGGAATTAACACATTACCGTCTCCAGTTCCCCAGAAAGCTTAGCATTAGGGAAGAAAAAAGATAAAAAGAAAGGACTGGAATATCTCTTTAATAAAAACTAAAGAAGATAAACGAAAGTTTAAACCTGTGCATTTATATTCGGGAGGAGGGTGACAGAGACCAGGGACTAATATTATCTTCCATCCTCTTTCATGAATCTCCAGCACTAGCACAGTCCTAGAACAGGAGATAGTCTCTCAATATATATTTTTTGAGTAAATGAATGAAAGTTTTCATGATTGCCCAATTAGATACTACCATGCCCCCACCCCTCTTTACTTCAAAGCCCTTTGATTAAATCTCAGTTACAGAGTTCATCATGGTCCACCTTTCTCATAGGCACTTGTGTATTTATTTCATCATCTCTATGGACTACAATGCTTTTATTAAGGGTATCTCACCAGTGTCCTCCATGACATCTTGCACGCAGGAAGAACTCAAAAGATACTCAATCTCTTCACGTTATATCAGATAGAGCAGGGTGCCATAGTAAACTATGATTCAGATCCCATGAGGAGCTGTATTACTTCATTTCAGCTCCATCAGAATGTTCTAGACTAGATTCAACAGAACATGTGCTGTTTTCCCTTTTACCTGACAAGCCCTCCTCTTAGAGGAGGACACTTAGCTCCTGCTGCGTATGCCTGATCATACGTGAAGTTGGGGAAGTATCACACTGGATATATGTGAGTTTTTCCCATAAGGCCCAACCGATCCCATTAAACACAAGGAAACATTCAAATAAGACTTAAAACAGTATTACAGGATGGGGCATATTTAGTACCCAGTCGGGTGTACCTCAGTAAATGCTTAGACATTCCAATCAAATTTGTTACGTTGGACTGAGAAAACAATACAGGAGTTTTGAAGAGAGATAGGTGACTGATGGTTGGTTGGTCTAGAAAAGGCTTTCTGAGGGAGGAAATAGGACTTAAACCAGCTCCCAAAAATTCATAAAGGCTTGGCTGAGGTAGGTTGTGGGGGGAAGAAAGTGCATCCAAACTGGTAGACAGACAAGTAACTCCAAACACTGCTTCTCCGGAGATGATAAGAACCTGCCTGAGAATATTGACAAGATAATCCTAGAAGCCATCACCTATATCTGGTTTGTCCTTTTCATTTATGAACCCGGGGAAGCCACATTGAAGCTCTACTATGTAACAAAGATGAGGTAGATTTACCCGGAAAGACAAGTATGTTCTCTGACCAGTGTGAATTTCTCTATAAACCACTCCCTTTCTCTGAGCTTCAATTCTTCTGCTCATGAAATCTGATATAGAAATTTCTTTCATTCACGTTCTTAGAAAAGTGGAAAGCAGTACCTGGGAGGAAAGTATTTAAATCCACAGAAGGCTGGCCAGGTCTCTTTTAAAGAACTCGAAAGGGAGGAGGAAGGGGGAAAAACAAAGGAGACACCTGGGTCCTGGATTTTTCTTCATCTCTTGAGTATGCCAAGAGGTCAATCACTTCACCTTTCACTCCTTACAAAATGAACATCATTATCTACTTGTGTGGAAAAAATGTTAAGATCCCCAGACAAAAGGTTTAAGTGTAGGACGCCATTATCAGAAGGTAATTGCCCTGGACACTTTCCTTGAAAAGCGCACCTGGATTTGAGATTTTATTTTATTACTATGAATGTGGCATTAATAAATTTAAAGGCCAAAAAGTAATTTTATACTAATAATCACTACACTAAGTGGATGTCTGTCATGTCATTTAGCAGGAGGAAAGAAAATCTTCAGTTCTACAATGGCAGAGAAAATGGTGCATAATTATGCCATGATGAGTACCTGCCCCTGTCACTTGAAGATGTTAAAAATGCAGTAGAGTTTAAGAAGGAGAGGGTGAGGAGGAAGTGTCCACAAGGGAAACTTCCATCGAAATATTTACAGAGACGTCTCAAGGCTCTGGCAGAAGTGCTAGCTGTGGGCCTGGTCTGTTTCTGGGGGCTCCCAGCTGACATTTGGAGTAAGAATTCAGATTGCTTGCTGGAATAGTATGCCAAGGACAGCTGGTGAAACTCAGTCCTGTTGGGAGCAGTGCTCCGCCAAGAGTGCAGGCTTTCCTCCACCTTATCATGCCCATGCGTGACAGTGATGAGAGAGGACCTGCAATCACAGGTCCTCTGTCCACAGCCTTCATCACAGGGCTGTGATTCCAACTCAAGGCCCGGCTGCAAGCCTGATGAGAGATGGGATCAGGCACGCCTGAGGGCTGAAGGGACTAAAACAGAAATTTAAGTGACAAATTGAAGGAAAGGGACACCTACAAGATGCCAAGTTCTGGGCTCAGTGCCATAAGAGATTCAGAGAAGTCCATGGTGAGTCCTTGACCTTGGTTAGTATGTATTAATGGAGTTAAGTTGCAGGAATGAGTCAAATTAAGCCATGATACTAAAAGGAAAGTGAGCCCCACGAGACCCTGACATAGGTCAGGGGTGTTCCAGCTGGGACCACAGTGATCAGGGGAGTGGCAGAGCTAAAGCTGGCTTAGACCAGAGGAGCTGATGGAATCCTGGAGCAAATGTGTGGGGCATGGGAAAGGATGGGTTGCACTGGCAACAGTATAGGTGGCCAAATGCAAAGGGCCAGTGAGCACGTAGGTCTGGCCAGTGGAGGAAGGACAGAGGGGAGGTTCACTTAAAGGCAGGCTGTTCAGAGGCATAAATGCAAAGCTAGTAAGCTTGGGCTTCTCTTGCAGGGAGTGAGGCACTATCGAAGGGGGCTAAGAATATTTCATCAGAAGAGGAAACAAAGAGAATTGAAAAGGAGATCCTGGAGGCAAAGAGACTTGAGGTAGGATGTGGCCATGAGAACAGAAAAGAAGGATTTAGTGCAAATGAGGTTTTACAGCTGAGACAACAGAACCTTGGGACCCACTCAGGTACAGTGGGGTCAGAGCCAACTCTGAGATTCAGAAACGAGAATGCCTCCACAAAAAAACTACAAGCACACTATAAGAACAAAATCATTTGAGAAGGTACTCTACTTGTTCAGGTGTAAATTTCCTTCTCGTAAATACGATACTAGCAATCACGTGTTCCCAATGCTGGGCTTAGAAGGGAGACTGCTCTTGGTGTTTCTGTGATGAATAAGTATATAAGAAAGAATGAGTTTAAACAAGCAGACAAGAGAAGGAAGCGCATGTACCAGCTTTAACTCAGAGCCAGAAGCATCAAGATCTTGTTGCCACATTTTACAAGGAGATTGAGAGTCACAGAACTGGAATGTCTCAAGTTAAAAGGACACAGAGAAGAAATATTTTATGGCCAGACCTCTGTTGATCTTGCTAGGGTTTTTTCTACATGATGCAATTACCAATCACATTGCTTCATTACAGCTCTGGCATTTACAGGACAGGGAAAAGCATTTACTGTTCAGCACTACTGCTATGGTTTGAACGTGTCCCCTCCAAAACTGAGGCGTTGAAACCTACTTGCCAACACAATGGTGTTATGGCATGGGACCTTTGAGAGGTGATTATGCCAGGAGGGCTCCTCCCCTCATGAATACAATTAAGGTCTTTATAAAAGAAGCTCCACACAGCATTTGGTTCATTGCTCTTCCATCTTCTGCCATGTGAGAATAGTTCCTCCCCTCCAGAAGATGCAGCAGCAAGATATCTTGGAAGCAGAGAACAGCTCTTACCAGACAACCCAAACTTCTGGCACATATATCTTGGAACTCCCAGTCTCCACAACTGTGGAAACAAATTTGTCTTTTTTTTTTTTATAAATTACCCAGTGTATGGCATTTTGTCATAGCAGCACAAAGACAACTAAAAGGGTCTTCAAGAAGTTCATGGAAATGAAAATTATGCATAGATTTCAAACAAAAATTTCTGCACCAAAACAAACATGTGGGACCAGCGGATGGCATAATGGTTATGTTGCTGGATTCCCTTAGAGTAGATCACGGTTCGAGTCCCAGACTTGGCAGCTTAAAACTGATACTGGGCGCATGTGTGTTTGTGCCCAGGATCTTGAGAGGAAAATGGAAGAGAAGGGATTCCAGGCATAGCCATTCCTACAGTGGGGTGATTTTTTTTTTTCCTCTCCAGTGAGTCCATGCGCCCTACAGCAAAAATCTCTCTCAAAAAAAAGGACTTTAATCCTATTTTTTCACAAATTTTTTGAAGTCTCCTTGTATTAAAAATAAATAAATAAAAAATGCAAAATACCTCTGAACCTAAAAGGAGTGTTTAACATTCCTGTTTAAATTTTCTTTAAGGGTAACTGAATAGCTTTAGTTGTATGAATTCTAGTTGATAAATGGGGATTAGTAATGAATCAGAAAAGTCATTTTGTAACTCCTGAAAAAATAAATGATCTAAGATAAAAGTATTACTTGGTAAAAGTGTGAGATGAAAGACTGATGGAGAATTTTATAGCAGCTGGATTAGGTTGTTTTCATCTGAATCCGTTGATCAACCTCAGAATCACTAACATGGTACAACCAGACATTAAAAGCTAACTGAGGTGATGCATTCGAAATTATGCCACACTACCGCTTTTCGCCAAGATGGCACTGAAAGTGAAGAGGGAGTTCCTGCCCCTCCCAAAGCTGAAGCTAAAGCAAAGGCTTTGAAGGCCGAGAAGGCAGGGCTGAAAGGCGTCCACAGCCACAAAAAAAAGAAGATCCCATACATCACCCACTTTCCGGAGGCCCAAGATTCTTTGGCTGTGGAGGCAGCCCAAACATCCTTGGAACAGCGCCCCCAGGAGAAACAAGCTTGACCACCATGCCATCACCAAGTTTCCCCTGACATGAAGTCTGCCATGAAGAAGACAGAAGACAACAAC